TTTCGCTAATTGGTTTACTGGGCTTTGTTCACGAGTCGAAGATGAACACGATGGTGGTTTCAATTTGACGGTCGGAGGTCAGACGGTATCAGAATCGGGCTTCAAAGCAGAGGTGCGGGAGGAGAATTTTATGAGTTGGTTTCTGTGTTTTCACGCAGAAACCAATTCGTTTCATTTAATAGAAAAGGCTGCCGACACTTTTTGGGTAAATTCAGGGCTTGGTCCTTGAATTTTCTTCAACTCTAAAACATGATACAAATTTTAAAAACTTTCAATTTAGTCCCAAAATTTCACCAATTTACACAATTATAATTTTTTTTTTCATTTTTTTTCAGGGTTGTTACAGTCTGTGTGCTACCCCTCTTATAACAAGTCCATGATTATAGCGGGCAACCACACCAATAGCCGCATCAAGTTTGTATCCCAAAGGAAGAGCGTGAGGGCAGATTCACCATGATTTTTTTTTTACTTTTGGCGAAGTTAAGAGCTTGACGATAATCTTCGAGATTAGAGAGCCTTCGCGTTCAACCTCGGTTCTCTTAAATAACCAATTGTAACCAGAGTTGGATGAGTAGATTCCAGTATTGTTTATTGAGAAATAAATATTAGCCCACACCCAACTTAATTTGATGTCATTGCTTACATCAATTTAGTTAGGTGAAGATGTCATTGTTTATCTCAATTTAATGGGGTAGGTGAAGTAGGTGGTAATAATGTATGGCTAGGAATATTTCTCAATTTAATATTTGTATGGTATATGTTACATGGTGAGGACTATAAATACCTCCATTTCATTTGAGTTATGCCTCCTCCAAAAATTTGAGTGTAGTGTCTTGAGTATAAGTTGTGAGCTTTCTATTAAGTGTTTATTTCTCTTCAAATTATGAGTGGTCTTTAGAAAGTGTTGTATTGTCTTTTATTATGGGTATAATACAAGTAATTTGTTTACTTGTTTAGGTTAAATATTAGTAAGTTTAGAGTTGTATACTCTAAATTTTACTCAACAATTGACATCAGAGCCACGTTATAAGGTCTCTTGAAATTTTGAGTATGCTATGTGGCTGCAGTTTTAACTGATATTCCACATCAGAAAATATTTCTTGAAAATATTTCGGGGTTATTACAAACCTTGTGGAGCTTTTTTATGGTTAGAGTAATTTAGTACTCTGCACGTTTGTTACTCAAGCTTGTTTGGTATAGTCAAAGCCTTGTCGTTACAATGAGTGACCTTCAAGTTGTTGGAGGAATCAAGAAGCTCAACAACAAAAAATAAAACACGTGGGCAACATGTATGGAGTCATACTTACAAGGTCAGGACCTTTGGGAGGTTTTCAGTGGTGGTGAAGTTACACAACCGGCGGCAGATGATGCCAATGGCATCTTGCAAAAGTGAAAAATTAAAGCAGGAAAATCGATGTTTGCTTTAAAGACCACAATTAAAGAAGAAATGTTGGAGCATATTCGGGATGCTAAAACACCAAAGGAAGCATGAGACACTTTTGTTACACCCTTTTCAAAGAAGAAAGATACAATATTGCAACTTCTCGAGAATGAGTTATTATCGATGGTGCAACGCGACATGACGATTGCTCAATACTTTCACAAGGTAAAGTCAATATGTCGTGAAATTTCAGAGTTAGATCCAATAGCTCCTATTGGGGAAACCAGGGTAAAGAGAATAATTATCCATGGTTTGAGACCCCGAATATCGAGGGTTTGTTGCCGCTGTACAAGGATGGCCGACATAACCATCGCTTGTTGAGTTCGAAAATTTGATTGCAGGTTAATAAGCCATGACCAAGCAAATGGGAGGAGTCTCACTAAAGGGTGAAGAGGAAGCGCTCTACACCAGCAAAAGCAGAGACACTTTTCAGTGGTATACTGGCAGTGGATCTAAAAAGGATGTTGACAAGGTGAAAAATTACCAAGGAAATGGAAGCTCTCATTCAGGGGGAGCTTCCAAGAATCGCTGTGATAGTAGAAAGTTCGATGACAAGTTTTACAACTACGGGATGATAGGCCACATGACAAAAGACTGTTGGACCAAGAAAAAGCCTTTTGAAAGTAATACTACTACTTCCAGCTCGAAGGAGAATAATGAAGATGGTTGGGATGTTGAAGCATTATTCGCTATGGAGGACTATATATTATATTAATTTGGTCTTAATTTTAATTCAATTTAAAAAATAACCCTCTAATCATAAAATTAAGACCAAATTAATATAATGTGTATATATTGAGGACTATATGTGTAATTATACCAATATTTTTAACAACCATGTCATCTCCTCTATCAAATCTTAACGGTTGGTGGCTTAATTGGAAACACTTATATATAGTTAAGTGATCAGATTGAAAAAAAATTAAAAGATCAATAAGCAAAATGAAAGGGACAATAATTAAGTGACCATAGGTATAGTTCACCCTTAATATTATGTTTTAGCTCCACAACACCCTTTTTGTCCGTTCCCTTGCATTTTTATAGCAGGTGGATATTCTTTCTTATGATAAACTACTATTATGCTCTTCACATCCTCTCACGCTTGTGTTTCTAATTTTTTTTAATGAAATTATAATTAATTATTTCAAAATTAATTCTAAAATAATAATTTTAAAAAGTTTTATTGTTAAAATATAATAATATATATTTTAGCTTAAAATTATGAAATTAAATTTATGATCATTGTTTAAGATTGAGTATGAATTACTCCAAGTTAATAAATGTGCAAATAAAGAATCTATCCTTTATTTTATTTTTTAATCGATTCAAGTCTTTAAGTTTTGAGTTTTGAAGTTAATATAAGAGTTAATTGCATCATTTGTCCTTAAACTATGATCCTCATTTCAAATTGAGCCTTAAAGTTTTGAACATTCTAATTTCATCCTTAAACTATGCTTTCATTTTAAATTAGTCCCCAAACTTTTGAACATACCAAATTCATCCCCAAGCTATAACCCTCATTCTATATTGATCCCTAAACTTTTAAATATTCTAATTTCAACTTTGAAGTTTTGAATGATTTAGGGGGATATTATTGGCATGTACAAAGTTTGGGAACAAATTTAGAATGTGTCATAGTTTAGGGATGAAATTAAAATGTTCAAAAGTTTAGTGATCCGTTTGGAATAAGTCATAGTTTAGGGATGTATGTAGCAATTAACTCTTAATATAAACTTTTCCTTTGACATTCTTAGAAGTGACAGATTTCAATATAATTTTGTTAATTTTTTTTATAATAATTTTAAGCTAAAATAATCATACAATTATATTTTAATCATAAAAAAAATTATATTTTGAACTTCAAACTAAAAAAAGGACTAACCTTTGAATAAAAAGTTAGACCAAAGATTAAAAGATATGATCCGTGACTACTTCAATTAATTTGATTGGTTAACCGATTAAATCTATTTGGAAAAAATATAATGATAATATTATTCATTGTATTAATAGTCATTTTGTTTTTTTAAATCATTTTAGTTCATAACATTTTAATTATTGTCGTAACATATTTTGTTAAATGATAACTGTTAGTTAATAAACGATCAATATATATTGTTGATGTGACATTTTTATATGTGTTCAATTATTGACATGACATGTATTATGTCACTCAGAATGTCACTTTGAGTGATGACGTATCATGTGTCACGCCGACAATTAAACTATGTAAAAATATAATGTTAACAATGTGTTGATCGTTAATCAATTAACAATTTAAATTCAATAAGATATATTTTGACAAGAACTAAAATATTAAAGATTAAAATACTAAAACAACAAGAAGTAAATTAATCATTTATACAAACGTTGAAAGATAATTTTATTATTATAACTAATGAAATCAATAATATAAATTTAAAGATATCAGTCTTATCAACAATTAATTGGTCTAGTGGGATGAAACATTAGATTTCTTAAACAAGATCAAAGGTTTGAACACTGACATTTGCGAATGAAACAAACTAGGTTGAGAGGATAACCTTTATCTCTACAATATTCAATTTGAATTAATTAATTAATTAAAAGGTCGAATATCAATGATAAATTCTAAAAATACCAGTCCTTATCAGTGACATGTACCAAAACATACGTGTGTGAAGAAAATATAAATGCAATAAATAAATAATAGTAAAGAATTGCAGGTGAATATTTTAATTTCTAATATATGATGCAGACCAACATTTGTCTAAATTAATAAATTTTGACCAAACAATTAGAGGTGCACAAAAAATTTGAATATCAGATTTTGCGTAAAAAATATCTGAAATCGGATTTGGGAAAAACAGTTTTTTTTAAACTGAATCGGATATTTAAAAACCAGATAGTATAACCGGTTAGGAAAAAAATTGGACGATCGGATTTTTTACCGGATTAAAAATCGGTTTGAAAAAAACCGGATAAAAAACTGATTTTTTATCCGAAAAAAATCCGGTCTGGATTTTAAAAACTAGCCGTTGGGAGGTTTTTGTAATCGTTTTTTACCCCTTTTTTTTCAAAATACACCACCATCTGTTTTTTATATCCGTTTTTTTAAAAAAATTGATTTTTTTCAAATCGAAAACGGTTACACCATCCGACATTCCAAATCGATTAGGATCCGAACCGATTTTTTTAAAATCTGATTTTTTTTGCTAGGTGAAAAACCGGATCGATTTTTATCTAATCCAGATCGATTTATTAACCGACTTTGTGAATGTCTACCAACAACCCCTTTTTATCCGTTACGTAGCCTCTTTCTAACTAGGGAATTCTTTTTTATGATAAACTCTTCATATATTATTCACATGCTCCAAGCAAATATTTATTATAGTTTTAATGGTAAAAAGTATTTAAATTAAAAAAACTAATATAATTTTTAAATTCATTTTATATTTAATATAATTTTTAAATTAAAAAAGTTATTTTGAATCTTTGAATCGGAAACTATTATTAATCATTATGATGCTAATGTAATAATTCAACATGTTGACATAAGAATTCATGAAATTGGCGTGACAGAATGACAGTCCACAATGATGATATTGCGGTTCACGATTCTAACATGATCAGCCAGAGACCGAAGACGTTCAGCGAATTACCAGCCAACTATTTGGAGCTACGACTTCCTTCAGTCCTTGAAGAATGATCACGCCGTAATTATATTTCGTGCCATCTTGTGCAAAACAACAGCAACCCTTTTCCCTTTCTTTCCTTGTTTGCTTAATTATTTGGTGCTGAATTCGCAGGATGCCATATACAAAGAGAGAGCAGCTAAGTTAGAGCAGGAACTAAGGTTTGCTATTAATGATGAAGATGCAGAGCCAGTGAACTTTCTTGAACTGATTGATGACATCCAACGGCTGGGGTTGGGGCATCGTTTTGAGATGGATATCGATAGAGCCCTTCGGAAATTAGTGTCTTTGTACGACGGCGGTGTCGCAGAGGAGTATAGTCTGCATGCAGCAGCTCTGAGATTCAGGCTCCTCAGGCAACATGGCTACGAGACCTCTTAAGGTAAGCGTTGAATCCTTTGAAAATGGAAACTTTCAAAGTTGCATTGATGTTGATAAAATGTCCGGATGCAGATGTCTTTAAAGCTTTCAAGGACAAGGACAATAAGGGAAACTTCAAGGGATGCCTTCATAAGGATGTCAAAGGAATGTTGAGTTTGTATGAAGCTTCACATCATGCCTTTGAAGGAGATCTTATGGATGAAGCCCTCACATTCACGAATGCATCTCATGGATTTACGGTGTGTTAGTGTTGACGAAAACGGGTAAAGAAAACGAAAGAACACGAGAATTTTACGAGGTTCGGCAATGTGCTTACGTCCTCGGTGCCTAGGCGGCGCTAGAAGTTTTATTCAATGATCTTTTTAGGTCTAGGTTACATCTATTTAATAGAAAACCCTGGTACATAATTACAAAATCAACCCTGTACCGTACCGCGGGGGCTGCGCCCCCACACCCCCAACCCACATAATTCGTAACCCCACAACGAGACTTTTTATGAGCCATACATAACAAATCTCCACCTTGGCGAATATCCTGCCCCTTGGAAACTTCAATGTGGGTTGGGTTACCTTGCTTCTTTAACAACTCGAAACATTCAACAAGTCCAAGCAATGCTTGAACTTGTCTGTCGTAACTGGCTTAGTGAACATATCAGCGGCATTTTCATCAGTATGTACCTTCTGAAACAAAACCTCTCCAGATGCAACCAACTCTCTGATCTTGTGGAACCTTAAATCAATATGTTTAGTTCTAGCACGATACACCTGATTCTTAGCCAAGTGAATAGCACTTTGATTATCACAAAGCACTGAACTCCACCTTGTTGAACACCCAACTCCTTCACTAAACCAGTAAGCCATAAAGCTTCTTTTGCAGCTTCAGCCGCTGCCATGTACTCAGCTTCAGTTGTAGATAGAGCCACAATAGATTGAACAGTAGACTTCCAACAAATAGGCCCTCCACCAAGAGTAAAGACATACCCTGTCGTTGATCTTCTATTATCCAAGTCACCTACATAGTCTGAATCCAATATCCTACAACCAAAGGATTATCCGCTGACTCCCAAAACAATTCCATGTCCCACAGTACCCTTTAAGTACCGAAAGATCCACTTGACTGCTTCCCAATGTTGCTTACCAGGTTTAGACATGTACTTACAAACTGACTAACAGCATGAGCTAAATCAGGACGAGTACATACCATCGCATACATCAAGCAGCCAACATCATTAGAATACGGAACCTTTGCCATATCTTCAGCTTCCTTACCTGTCTTGGGGCACTGTTCTGATGAGAGCTTAAGTGATCGCCAATGGAGTCTAACTGGTTTTGCGCTGCTCATCGCAAACCTTTCTAGCATTTTTCTCACATAACCCCGTTGAGATAGCCGCAGTTTCCTTGAGTCTCTGTCCCTGCAAATTTCCATTCCAAGAATTTTCTTTGCAGCACCTAAATCTTTCATATCAAATTCCTGACTCAATAAAGTTTTCAAACCGATAACATCATCCATGTTCTTCGCAGCAATCACATATCATCAAACATACAGTAATAGAAAAAAAAAGAACCATCAAGGCTCTTAAATAGACACAACAATCATACTCACATCGGTTGTAGCCAATGATCTATAGGAGTCAAACCGTTTATACCACTGTCTCGGAGATGTTCAACCCGTACAAAGATTTCTTCAATCTGCAAACTAATGCTCATTTCCAGGTTGAGTGAAACCTTCAGGTTGCCGCATGTAGATCTGCTCCTCTAAATCACCATGCAAAAAGGCAGTTTTAACATCCATCTCTCTAAATGTAAATCCCAACTAGCCACCAATGCAAGTACTGCTCGGTTGAAGTGTGCTGACCACAGGAGAAAAGATTTCATCATAATCAACTCCTTTCTGCTGTGAAAAACCCTTCGCTACCAAACGAGCCTTGAACTTCTCCCCTCTTTTTCTGTTACTACTGGTTTCTTCTTATACACCCATTTGCAACCAATCGACTCTTACCCTCAGGAAGGGGAACTAACTCCCATGTGCGATTGTGATTCAAGACTCCATCTCCTCAACCATGGCTGCCATCCACTTGTCGTTTTCCTGACTAGTAACGGCCTGCTAACAGTAAGTGCAAAAGATACCAAGTCTTCAAAACCCAATCTGTTCGGAGGCTTATATTCGTCCGTCTCACCTGTCTCTGGCGAGACTATAATCCTGCAAATCATCCGTAGTGGAACCACCAGAAGTCGGTTGAGAAGTTTCTGGTTTCTCAACTGGAAACTGCTCGAAATCTACCACTGTCGTGTCTTGCTTCTGCTGCAACATAGACTGTTCATCAAAAACGACATCTCTACTAATCACAACTTTCTTCGCAACTGGATCCCAGAACTTGAATCCTTTGACACCTTTCTTGTAACCTAGAAAAATACACTCCTTCGATTTTGCATCAAGTTTGGATCTCTCATCAGCAGGTACATGCACATAGCAGGACAACCAAAAATCCGTAAGTTATCAAAACTAACATCATGACCAGTCCATACCTCTTCTGCAACTTCCCAGCCAGCGATGCCCTTGGCGATCTGTTGATAAGGTAACACGCCATGTTAACAGCCTCAGCCCAGAAGTGTTTGGGAAGCCCCGCATTCAACCGCAAACATCTGGCTCTTTCATTCAACGACCTGTTCATTCGTTCCGCAACACCATTCTGTTGTGGTTTCTTGCGCACTGTAAATGCCTTGAATCCCATGCTCCTTACAGAATTGTAGGAACTGTGAATCTGTGTACTCCGTACCATTGTCAGACCGCAAACACTTGATTTTTCGTCCTGTTTGGTTTTCTACCTCAGCTTTCCACAACTTGAACTTCTCAAAAACTTCAGATTTCTGTTTCAAAAAATACACCCAAACTTTCCGTGAAAAATCATCAATAAAAGTAACATAGTACCTAGATCCACCCAAAGACGATGTCGTGGAAGGCCCCCCATACATCAGAATGCACATAATCAAGAATCCCTTGAGTTGTGTGCTTCGCAGTCTTGAAACGGACTTTAGTCTGTTTACCAAGAACACAATACTTGCAAAAGTCGAGCTTACAGCTTTTGACACCATGCAACAAGTTTCTCTTGTAATTCTGCCATACCACGTTCACTAAGATGAGCAAGGCGCATATGCCACAATTTTGTCGTATCATCACAGGACTCACAGAGTGAACTCCACTGCAACGGTACTCCCTAACAATCTGTAGATATTCCCTGCAGTCATCTTGCCTTTCATCACAGTCAATGCTCCTTTAACAATCCGAATGGTTTCCCTATCCTCGTCAGCCTTAGGGATAAAACCATTCTTGTGCAAAGTGCCCAAGGAAATCAAATTCTTCTTCAAGTCTGGGATATGTCGAACACCACTCAACGTCCGAACGGAGCCATCTGCATCTTAATTCTGACATCACCAATACAAACAATATTGCAACATCGATCATCACCCAAATAAACCGAACCAGAATTAACCGGCCTGTATGTCGAAAACCATTCCCTATTTCAATTCGGACAGTCTCGCTTCATATGTCCCGCCTCCTTGCACTTGTAACAGTGAATCGTCTTCTTATCCCTGGATTTGGATCTGGAATTCCGCTTCCCGGACCCTGCCTTCTCTGGCTTCCGTCCACGATCTCGATTACCCTTGACATATAAGCTATCAGCTTGAGAGCTTTCCCCTGCATTCTGCTTCCGCTGGTTGTGAGCCAACAAGGCTGCAGTAATCTCCTCAACATTGATAGTCTCTTTCCCATATGTAAGAGTAGTCACCATGTGTTCGTAAGAGGAAGGCAACGAACACAACAGAATCATCGCTCTGTCTTCATCCTCAATTTTTCACATCAAGCCGAGCCAGATCAGAAACGATTTGATTGAAGACATTCACGTGTTGCGCCAAATCGTGATCGTCCTGCATCTTCAGCCCATACAACCGCTGCTTCAGATACAATTTTGTCGTTAAGGATTTGGACATAAACTGACTTTCCAACTTCCTCCAAATTTCGTCTGGAGACGATAGATGCATGACGTGATACATGACCTCGTCCTCCAAGCATAATCGTATGGTTCCTGCCGCTCGCTGCTGCAATTCTTCCCAATCTTCCTCATCCATCGACGCCGGCTTTGTAGGTCGCAAAGCCTTCAAGATCCCTTGCTGCGCCAATAGATCCTTCACCCTCGTTTGCCATAATCCGAAGTTACCCTGACCATCAAATTTCGCGACTTCAAATTTTGCTCCTGACATCTGATACCAATTGTTGACGAAAACGGGTAAAGAAAACGAAAGAACACGAGAATTTTACGAGGTTCGGCAATGTGCTTACGTCCTCGGTGCCTAGGCGGCACTAGAAGTTTTATTCAATGATCTTTTTAGGTCTAGGTTACATCTCTATTTATAATAGAAAACCCTGGTACATAATTACAAAATCAACCCTGTACCGTACCGCGGGGGCTGCGCCCCCACACCCCCAACCCACATAATTCGTAACCCCACAACGAGACTTTTTATGAGCCATACATAACAGTTAGTAATCTGGAAAAAGGTTTATTAGAAGAGGTGAGCCGCTCGTTGGAGCTCCCATTGCATCGAAGAATGCTCAGGCTAGAAGCTTGGTGGTACATCGAAGCTTATAGCAGAGGGGCTACGGAAAATCCAACCCTACTCGAACTGGCAAAGCTGGATTTCAACATGGTGCAATCAACACATCAAGAAGATCTCAAGGAGATGGCAAGGTACACCGATTGATAAGGAAAAATAAGTTATTTTGTTTATCACTTGCAGTTTTGACAAGATCGGTTTCATGTTTGATTAGATGCTGGATAGGTATGGGGCTAGCGAGCAAGTTGAATTTCGCAAGGGATAGGCTCATAGAATGTTTCTTCTGGTCGATCGAAGTGGTTTTGGAACCCGAATTCAGGAATTGTCGAAAAAGTCTAACCAAAGTGGCTTCCATGGTAACTATAATTGACGATGTTTACGGCACTTTGGATGAACTCGAGTTATTTACCGGTGCCCTTCAAAGGTGGGATGTAGGTGCTGCGAAAAAGATTCCCAAGTGTATGGAGCTATGCTTTCTTGCTCTTTTCATAGTATTTTTTTCTTCTACTCCTTTCTCCCCTTTGAACTCAAGGCTCCATATTAATATCTTAGAGGAAAAATCTAAACTCCATTAAGGTAAGAATTATTCTAAGAAATTGATAGACTTCAAAATGATATCAGTATTGTTGATTTTTTAAGAATTAAAACATGAGCTTGAGAGATTTTAGGAGTCTTTAAGCCTCAAGGCTAAATTAGAAGAGATTTAGATAATATTTATGTTTCTAAACGTGTCCTTAGCATTTGTTTTAACTTTGTGAATGATTTTAAATCTCTCTTGATTGCGGTTGATTAAAGAGAAAGAAGAGTCCTCCAAGAATAGAGGTAAAGAGAAGTTTAAAGGGTGTTAATTCAAAGCCTTTATTTGTTGATTTTGAGAAATATAATGTATTACTAGTCTTTTGTTATATCATGACATCCATAAATCTTATGTCTCATGTGTGGTTTATGGCTTTTGAAGTATGTTTGAGTGATATGCATGACTTTACAAATGATGCTTGTCCTTAATGGTATGACGTAGAGAGAAGTTGGGGGTGACTTTTAAGTCTTAAATAATATTTTATAGGCTTTGTGTCCGCGTTTTGTGAGTACTAAATATAGACACGAAATATGTGTAAGTATACACAATCGAACAAGTAATACAGTGATGAGTATCGTCTCCACAAGGATTGAAAGAAATTTATAAGTTCAATCAAAGCAAAGAACCACTTTATCTTAGTATAATTAGTGTGATGGTATGTACTAATGATAATGCTAAGGCCATGTGAAATGTATATTGGGTGGGGATGGAATGATAGTGTGATGTGGCAGCAAATGGAGATGTTGTGGCAAAATAAATCGTGTGTAGTGAAATCAAATAAGAATGTAAAGGAAAAACAAAATGTAAACACTGTATTTGAATAAAATGACTTGATAATCCTCACACAAGCTACTATTGGAATGAATGATAGGAGTCACTTAGGAAACTTAAGTCTATCTTCTCAGGATGGTCTTACTTGCCCGACAGAGTTTACTAAAGGTGCCCTATGCTATCTCTAGTCAAGGGACTCGACATGTTGAGAATGTTATGGCAATACCTCTCGGCGTTATTAGGTACAGGGATCTCATCAATTCAAATCAACAGAATATGTCACAATAATACCACTCAACGTCAACACTAGCTTCTAACCTCTCGACCGAGCACTACTCCTTTTAGTCGATTAAAATCCTAGCCTTATGTCTAAGGGTGGATTAGGTCTAGTTATTGTCTAAAAATCATTGCTTATGTTAATCTTCATTAGTTTCTCTCGAACACTAAAGATGAGTTACTAAGTTTCTCTCAAACACTAAGTAGTGTCCTAAGGAATGGTTATTGTCATAGCTCTTATAACCTTAAGTCATTAAGCACCATAAGCAAAACAAATAAAAGCATAAAAATAAAACAACAATCCATTAAAGAAAAACTTAAGCATCCGTAATGAACTCCCACCAAATAAAGCTAATTCATGGTGGGGTTCGAATATTCCATGAAACAAACCATGAAATTCATTTATTCCATACAACCCAAATATGATAAGAGATAAAGAAAACAACAAAGGGAGGGAGGAAAAGCATTCGACGTGCACTGCCAAAATTCCCCTCGGCCACCACAAACCAACCTAGCTCGCTAGATCCTCTCAGACGCCTAGCTCGCCACTCCCTCGAGCTTGTTAATGGAGGAACACCAAGACAAAGGTGAAGGAAAGAAAAAAGGTGGAAGCTTTTTCTTCCAGCAACCTCTCCTCTCTTTGCTCTAAAATTTAAGCTCAAAGGTCTAAAATCAAGTCTCCAGAATTTGGTGACCTCATCTCATATTTATAGTGAGGAATAAACCTAGGAATTTGTGTCAAAATTCCCATGATATCCCAAAGTTCATTCCCTTCACGTGAGGGGTGGTACAAAGGTGGCAGTGGTCCCCTCCTAGGTGGCTAGCAGCTGATAGCACGTGAAGACAAGGACAACTGACTTTTTATAAAATATATTATTTTGTCTTTTTCTGCTTCAGAAATTTCGTCCAAGTTGCCACGACATTCACATTCTGCTCAGCTTTCCCAATTTGTCACGGCAATTCTCCTCGCGTATTTTTGCTCCCAAATCCTACACATCATCAAACAAAACACCTTCCCCATAACGCAACAATGTTTTCAAAATAAAATGCCACAAAAAAATTTATATCCACCACATGCAACTATATGCTTCTAAATGCATCTATATGAGCTTTTAAATAGTCAATAACTTAAGTGAAAAGACCCTAAATATAGCTTTTTATGGAGTTATCACTTTGGTATTGATATTTTTCATGTAGTACCCATACCGGTTGAATGAGTGTTGAAATATGGGCAACAACACTTGTGAGTATCGATCATGTTCATAGGATATCAATACCGAGGATGATGTATTGATATCATGATTATTTATTCGAATTTCGAAGCTTGATTTGATATCGATACCTATGGGTGAATATCAATACTTGTATGAGAGTATTAAAAACCTTGTTAATTAAATTCATTTCAAAGCTCAAAGTAGTATCGATTCCATGAAATAATATCGATACTCAAGGGTTGGATATTGATACCCATAGGAGAGTATTGATATTGTAACACTTATTTCCCGTATACATCCCTGTACACGAGTCACAGATATCACATGACTTTCAAAACATTTATGTACATGAAAACCAGTAAAATTTTGTTTCTTTAAATAAAACAATTTAATAATATATTTTATAAAACATTCTTCAAATACATGTATATATATATATTTATATATAATAATGTTAAAATCCATCAAATAGTAGTTTAAGTTCAAACATAATATATATTAAATATGTCTACTCAAAATAATAATAGTGGTTCATATTATCCATATTTAAAATAGCATAAAACGATTCATTTTATCCATTACAAACCAATTTCCAAAATAGTTAAACAGAGCTAATAAGACATTCGTAAGTACATGCCACTAAACTAAGTCAAAATTACATCATAGGATGTCTCACTGATATTGTAGTATAATTCTTAATGCTTGGAGTTGCTCTGTACTCTTTACTTCTAATCATGGCTTTTACCTATGCGTGAAAATCATTACACACTAAGTATACACTTAGTGAGATATAATAATATAAATGAGGCGTAACCAAACATAAGCATATCATAAAATATCAAAATATGAATTTAATTATATAAATAATAGTAATACATAAAACTAACTTGGTAAACCAAATTTCTTCCACATAACATGCGAAACAATATTTAGTATGCCCAATATACCTGTCAATCACTATTTTTCCAAAGTATCTATTTATTTACCCAATGTATGTCGAATGATAATACAAGGTACATGGGTTACACATAAGTGCTAAACGAAAGCATAGGTTCTGTGGTGACAACAACACTATACTAAGGTAACGAAATAGTGATTCACAAACTCATTATGAATACCATGGGTGTACACATAGTACCGAAATGGTAATCCACAAACTCATTATGAATATCATTGATGCACACATAGTGCCAAAAGTACACAAAATACTAATATGAAAATGCAACATATGTATTAAACAAAATCGATTGATAACCATCATACACAAAGTATGTAGAAATGCACTTATGACTCTCAATGTACATACAATAGGCCCTTAAATCAAATTCGCAAATTAAACATTTATTCTGAAATATCGATAGCTGTTAAAATAATATAAAAGTTCATACATCTATTTCAGGGCAGTTCATACCCAAAAATTATTCGTAAAATCATTTTCATAAACTTTATGAAAATATTTCAAAATACGGTAAACCATGCTTTTATGAAAACATTCGAGGTTGACTCATCGGAAGCGTCCTCATATCATATAAGTACATAATAAATGCACTCACATTGACACTTTATATATCAAAAGATATGTCTCACTATGCTCCACACTAGATCCTTTTATATTCGATTTGCTTTAATAACAAAACTCAATCACAATATGTACAAAAATCACAAATTGATGTCAATACATATGTTAGTATTATACTAACATAATCACATCCCCAAAACAAAATCCATAATATACTTGGAACTTAATTTCTACCAAAATACTTAACACTTAATAATTCCTTTTAATCTTGACATCAACTTTTCCAATTTACACAAAATGGTCCTTCACCATTTTATCACTTAAATTTTAATACAAAATTTCCAGCACTTAAATTATTACCATCCAAGTGCTTTTAAGAGGTACAATTACATTTAAGCATCCCAACTATATACATATTGCACTTAGATCACCAAGCTTTTCAAACTTTCAAAATGGTCATATTTCACATCTTAATACTCATTTCAATTCCAAAACAGTAAATTCCGTCATAGTTCATCAACTATTAGATAATTCCACAACTATTCACAAATTTTCCAAAATTGCCAACTTGGTCCCCCAACTTTTCAAAAATTATAGAATGGTCCCCAAATTTTTCTAAGGCTTATAACATACTTCCTACATCAATTCCAACCCTTTTATAATTTTCCATAATTTTTTTCACTCAACAATACCATGCCCGAATGCTTTAACCTTTAAATCTAGGTTTTTATGATTTTGCTCGATTTTGATTCGATTAAAGCATGAAATCAACTTCCAAACAACTTTACAACATCTCTATAATCAAATCCCTAATCAAATCTTATCTAAACACAAAGTTCTACAATTTCCTCTTTTGGCCGAAAATCATAGAATAATTTCTAGGAAGTTTGAATATGTTTTAATCATAAATCAAGCTTGAAAATGAATCTACAACTTCAAAAACATCAAGATTTATCATCAATTTCATGAAACTTCATATTTACCATCCAACCAAGATACATCAATCTTATCATCTTCTTAAAGTCAAAGATGAACAAACAAAATCTTACTTTACCGATTTGCCCTTGCCTTTTTCCAAACATTACAATCTTTCCACTTTAATCCAACGGTTCATAATAAACATAGAATTAAATCAAAAAATCCAAAGATTTATATTATTTTCCAACATTTTAAAATGTGAAAATAATATTTTTAGGTCTAAATTATCATCATTCATAT